AATAAATAAATAAATAAATAAATAAATAAATAAATAAATAAATAAATAAATAAAGTTCCATGTAGTGAAAACATTGTATCAGTCATCTTAAGTGGACATCTACTCTAATGCCTCATATTTTGAAAAGTTTTTCCTAGGTGTCTCTTGAGTTAGAAAATATTACAACAGATCAGAGTGAGATTTAGGACAGATGGGCAAAACAAATGTCTTGGCCTCTTTCTCTGCTCCATGCATCACCAGTCTCAACAGCTTTGTTATGCTTTATTTTAGCTAAAAGGCTGAGAAATGATCAACAGCTCAACTGCATTTAAAGGCAAACAATGAAAAAGTTATCTTTAGACCTTTTTTTGGTTCTTTTTAAAAAATTTTTATTAATTACAGTTTATTCACTTTGTATCTGCCCTGTACCTCTTTCCTCCTTTTCCAATCCCACTTTCCCTCTTCTCCACCCATAGCCCTCTCCCAGTCCACTAAAAAGGGAGGTCCTCCTTCCCTTCCCTCTGATGCTAGTCTATCAGGTCTCATCAGTAGTGGCTGCATTGTCTTCTTCTGTGGTCTGGTAAGGCTGACTTTTGTTCCAAGGTCCTTAACTCTCTTTCTTACTGGAGAAGTTGATATTGGAAGTTACTATTGGTAAGTACATGCTGAGGTTTTCAAATACATGCATTACTGGCAATTGTTATGATTCAACTCTGAAATGTTCCCCAATGGCTCATGACTTGATTGCATGGCCCCAGTTGGTGGTACTATTTTAGAAGACTGAGAGATTTATCATTTTATAAAGAAGCATAATAGGCATATTAGACAGCTCAAGACAAATACGTGTGTATGTGTGTGTTTGTGTGTGTGTGTGACATATCTAATATTTGTGTATGCATGTTCTCAGCATGATGTGAACAACCTCAGCCACACATTCCTACTGCTATGACCTGAGTTGCTCTGCCCTGCTTTTTGCCATGAAGGACTAAAATTCCCTGAAACTCTGAGCCAAAATAAATCTTTTCTCCTTTGTTTCTATTGGGCATTAGGACATGAATACTGACTAATATAGACATGTTTCATTTTGTCAAACACATATGTCTGGGAGTTTTCTTTATGGAATCAATTTTAAAAGCTCTAAATATATATAGTTGACGAATCCAGAGGCAGCATAAAAATAAACCATGGAAAGGAATTAATAATGCTGGATAGCTTTTCATATTCTTCCTTCCATCTTTAGGTGGCAGAGATGAAATTCGTTTACATCATTGTGATACTACGAGAGCAACAGGTACATTACATGTAAAATAACTAGACACAGCAGTGCCTCTTTTGCTCATAGTGACAAAATGTGTCTTACCTTAAGTTCTCGGAGCTGAATTCTGATTCTAGAAACTTAAGGAACTGCTCTCTCCCAACAGGGTCTTTCAGTGCCTCATCCATGCCAAAACCCCATCGCTTTACCCTTTGTTGACTTGGTTCTTTGCTGTGGGAAAGAAAATAAGGCTAAATGCATTCTTTTTACTAGCATTCCCGTTTGGGTGGGGTGGGTAATTCGTGGCAGGCTTTCACTATGTATCCTGGCTTGCATGGAACTCACTGTGTAGACCAGGATGGCCTTGAATTCACAAAGGTCCATGCTTCTATCTCCTAAATTCTGGGATTAAAGATTTGTGCCACCATGCATGAGCTGTTTTCTATTTTCTTTATCATGTATGCCTTAGAAGAGTGCCCGTCTTATCCCCTGGAACAGCAATACATCACTGATTGATTATTTTTCATGAAATCACAGTGAGGTATACGTTAGATTAATAACACAATCTAACACTGAGGGGCATCTGCCTCTAAGAGTCTGGATGGATTCTTGGCAACTTTAGAAGAGCGGTATTCCTTCTCTCATTTCAAAGAGGAAGACATTGGTGTACAGAGAGTTATAACTTGATCCTGCCATACAAAAAGTAAGGGGTAAAACTCAAACCACTGTTATGCAGAGCCCAATTTCAGCCACCATACAGTGTAGTCTGTGGTATAGGAAAGCCCTGGAGTAATGCATTGGTATCCAGCAGGCCTCATTACTACATATGATTCTATTGAAATTAAATATGAAATATATTTAGTCATGGATTGGGGGCTCTAGTTTCCTAGATATATATGCATATATGTATACACATATTATATATGTGGGTATGTATATATATATGTATATATATATCATACATGCATATATGTGTGCGTGTGTGTGTGTGTGTGTGTGTGTGTGTGTGTATGTATATATAAAACTTCTGACTAAAGACTTCTGAATTGGTAAATGTTTAAAGTCCATGGCTAGATGTAAGAGAAATGTTCTACAAATATTACTTGGATCCATGTAGCATCACAAGTCTAATTTCAGTGTCTCACAGGTGGAGGTAGAAGGATAAAGAGTTGGAGGTCATCCTTAGCTACATGATGAGCTGAAGGCCCACATGGAACCTCAGGAGACTCTGCATAAAGCAAAACAAAACAGAAGGGCTGTGAAACACAATCCTGTCTTTGAAAAGTGGCATGCAGTCACTCTTGAATGAGCTTTAAAGCTGATGCCACAATATCCCACAAAGCTCCCCAAAGAAACCAAGAGTTCTACCTGGAGCTTGGGTTTTTAAATATCAGCTTCTCTGTGTTTATGGTGAGTTCATTTAGTTTTAAAACAGAATTTACATGTTTGCATTGGGCTTAAGCAAGTGTGGATTTGGCATCCATTTTTACCTGAACACAAAAGCCTATCTGATTATATGGTTTTTCAAATGATTTAACAGCACAGAGATGAATTTTAAAATCTGAATATCTGAATTCTGACTAACCCCTACTTAAAATGTTACCCATAGTTTTGAGCCAGTTATTTCAGCAACATACATTTGTTTCTAAAATTAAATTTATGTGTTGAAATCTATAAAAACCCATATATATATATATATATATATATATATATATATATTTGGATTTGAATACATATATATATGGAGTACTATGTGATATTCTGAAACAAGCACATTATGTAGGGTTGAAATCAGGATAAATACATCTTCTCAAGTGGCATGGCTCTAAGGTAAACGTATTCAGAATCATTTTGTCTAAAGTTTTCAAACACACAACACATAGATATCAGCAGTCACCCTACTGTCCAACAAGCAGCACACCAGAACTCCTAGCTCCAACTGGTCAACCTCTCTTTGTGTCTCTCTCTCCCCTACTTTTCCAAGTTTCTGGGAACCACTATTTACTCATAGCATTTTGTATTTTTACATTTTGTAAGCTCATGTGGTTCTCTTCTTTCTGTCTCCCACTTATTTCATGGAACCTAGTGCTTTACCGTTCCATCCACGTTGCTGGGAATGACTGGATTCCATCCTTTCTGATGGCAGAACAGCACCCTAGCAGCAGGACAAACCTCTGTGTAGAAGCCTATAGCTACAATATCTTTTTGACCAGCAATGCTAAATCATGGACAACACAGAGCAAAAGCAAAATCATCTCCATAAGGACTCAGCTCCCGATTCTGCTATTTCACACACGTTCTTAAATAACTGACACACTTGGAGGGAAGAGACCATGTCCTTACCTTGCTTCAAGTTCCCAGAAAGTAGTATCATCTGAGAGCCATGGGTTGGAAGGGTCAGGTGGCACAAGAAACGGGTCATACTCTACATACTGTTCCGTATAACTTAGTAGACTAGGGAGAAAAAAGAGGGGGGGAAAAAGACAAAATCAGAACATACCCAGCTTTATTTTTTATTAACCTGGAAGTTATGCCTGATTCAAACTAAGGGAAACGAAATGAAAATGGCTGGCTAGGAAATCCACATCAGCTTACAGAAAGAAATCCAATGGCAATTTCTGTGTTTCCATAACCTACATGTAATAAGTCACCACGGTTATGACAGGCAGACATTGTGGATTCTACCTCCCAGCCTGAGCACGGAAGCCAGTAAGCCCCTGTGGAGACTGCATGGCCAGCTCGGCCTGAGCCATGGGTACACAGGATCATGCCAGTCCTGGCTAGCCAGAATATTCACAGCAGAACAGATTGTGGCCAAGTTGGCCAAGTTAGAAAAATGATAGATAAAATTACTGGTGAAAAAATTATTTTTAATGATATCAAAAACCAAAAGAAGAAAGAGGAGGGTAAAATACGAGAAGAACTTGGCAGATTCCTTAAAGCAATCAAAACATGTTTCATTAAGAATAGGGGCAGGGAGAAGCTGAGGGAGGGAGGGTGGGATTGGGAGGGAATAAGGAAGTGGGATACAGCTGGGATACAGAGTTAATAAAATGTAACTAATAATAATAAACAATAAAAAAAGAATAGAGTTTTCTTTTCTATGTCACTTCTTCTGTGGACAGGTAGGGAACCTAAGGATGTTCATCATATCCATGTTTTGCTTAATTTGTTAGCAGAATCCACATTGAAAGACACAAGCCATTGGAAGTTTTAAAATGCTCAGAAAATTTGATGTTGCTTTATTTTCACAAATGTAGATTTTTTTTTAATTGAGGAAAATATAAATCTAAAATCTATGAATGTCAAAATGAATTTACAGATGCACTAGGTTGCCAAATAGGAGCCAGTAAGTTAAAAGACTCCTTTCTTCCACTCAGTGGCCTGCTCTTTGATCACCTCCCCATGAGGGGGAGCAGCCTTACCAGGACACAGAGGAAGACAATGCAGCCATTCCTGATGTGACATGGTAGGCTAGGGTTAGAGGGAAGGGGAGGAGGGCCTTGTCTATCAGTGGACTGGGGGAGGACAAGAGGGTGGGATTGGGAGGGAATGAGAGAGGGGTTTACAGCTGGGATATAAAGTGAATAAACTGTAATAAATAAAAATAAATAAATAAATTTTAAAAATATTCCTTTCTTCCACAAAGAGTAAGAAGATGCCACTTCCATGAAATTAATTCTTGGTTCTATAAGGATTGTACTTGTGGAACATAAGATAATCATCATTCTGTTGTCTTTAAATCATGACAAAAGACTTCTACAGAAGTTTTTCAGGGGCAAAAATAAGATACTCCAACAAATGTTTCAACCATTTCCTTTCTCCTCCAACCACCTGTTTACCATCTTTAATAAAGTTGTCATACAACATTTAAAATTTATAGCGTGGGGCTGGAGAGATGGCTTAGTGGTAAAGAGCACTGGGTGTTCTTAGAGAGGACCAGGGCCAAAGGCCCTCTTCAGGCCTCCATGGGAACCAAGCACACATGGGTGGACATACATGCAGACAAAACACCAATTCACATAAAATAAAATAAATACACATTTAAAAATAAAAATTCATATTGATATATTGAATTCCTTACCTATCAGCAACTTTTGACATTTTTAACCGATGTCTATCTAACTGTATTTGCCAGTATTTTATCTGAAAAAGAGAGTTGAAGACATAGTTGCATAAACAATCGCATCCCACAATCTCTACTCTAAACCTCAAGGCTTGCTGGGTACATTTGAGGAAAAAAGGTAAATCTAGAAAAAAATCAGAGCGGAGAGCTCTGAAAAGCTTTAAAAAGTATCATCTTTGTTTACATTTGAATGTAAACAAAACTAGTATAAATTTAGAACAGTGATGCATCTGAATATAACGCCTACTTCAAAAAATATAACTTTATTTGAAAACTGCTATGCAGACTTTAAACATTCTTGATGAATAACTAGATTCAGAATCTCATCACTCCCCAATAGTTAACTCATAAAACTAATGCATTTTTACTAGTTACTATACTTTTAAAGTAAATTTTTCATCTTTGTGCTATACCAAGAAAGGATTAAGGTTATATATTTTGAAAGCAATCTATCAACTCACGACACATGCTTATATAAATATACAATGAGACTAATCTAGAAAGCAAGCCCCTGAACTACTTTTTCCTTATAAACTATGAGAAAATTATAAAGTATAGAAGTGAACATTAGCTTACTGGTAAATCCCGGTGTAGTGAAATATAAGTGAAAATGAGTCAGGGTTGGGGGGCATCCCTCTGATTAAGCCAACCAAAAGATGCAAATGAAAATATTTCTTGGAGACAAACTGACTTTTAAAAAGAGCCATAGAGATCATGATGACACACCGGTATTGATAATGACAAACTTCAAAAGGTTAGATAAATCAATGCTGCAGAAATAAGAGTGCCCATGTTTCTGTATTGATCATGTCACTTCATCCGTGGGAAATAAGACTGGATTCACCCTGCTCTCTGCTCACAGGTACTAAGACAGAGAGTTTGCATAGGAAACAATTTCTGTGACCAAGACACCTCTCGGTCAGGAGCACAGTTTCCAAGAATTGTCTCAAGGCAAAAAAGGGATAAATCAGTGAAGAGCTTTGAAAAGCATTTCCATATATTCTCTGTTTCAAATGTCGTGTCTTAGAATCAGGCTAGGGCACACCTATGCACACAAGCACACTCATGCACACATATGAAACACGCAGTATTGCTAGGATTGACCCCCAAGGTCGTGGACAGGACAAGCAAACACACTACCAACTGAGCTATACTTCTATCCCTTTGCATAAAGGTTTCGGGTTTTTTTTTTCCCTGTTTTTATTTTGAGACAGAGTCTGTGCTCAAACGCAATTCTTCTGGAATCTTTGATCATCCTGCTCTCAGCCTGTGAGAGCTGGAATGACAGGGATTCATTCTCTCCTCTGCACAGGTGGTGCCGTACACATCCTCAGCTGGCCATTTCACAGGTAGACCCACCTGTTGGTGTAGCTCGTCTTCTGTGGGAGGCTTGGTTTCTGGTGTAGGTGTGTGGGTGGGACTGTGACTTCGGATGTCATTTTGTAAACCATAAACCGACTGTAATAAAATAAGAAAAGTGTCAGGACAAAACACAGCTCATTGCCATAGGCCTTCTAAAGAGCAAATGCTATCATTTGTACTATAAACAAACTCAAAGCTTATTTGATAGTGTTTCTTACCCAAATCTAAAGGGTAGGAAAACAATATAGAAGAAGAGCAAGGAGGAATAATCACCAAGATGCTTGAAAATATGTAAATATTCATAACTTTATAGGTACCTGAAATTATGTATCACTCCACACACACATACACACACACCACACACCTCATAGACACCATATACACACATGCTACATACCGCACACACACAAACACACACATACACACAGAGTAAAGTTGTACAACTTGGAGTTATAATATCTGTATCCTTCAATTGTGTCCTAGGCAAACCAAGCTGGCACACATTGATTGTTTCTTGTATGGCACTTCATTGCATGCCAGCTCAGAGCTCTGCCACTACTGCTGGAGTGTGAAGAACTCTCCCGTTAACGAATGCTCTCTTCAGGGAGGAAGGCCCAGCTCAGATATCAGCCTGGAGTCTAGTGCTGCAAAGAACATTAGAGATCACTTCAGCACACCTGAGTTCCACTTTGTTTACTCATCTGCTGTCTTCTCCCACTTTGTTTACTCATCTGACATCTCAGTCAGCCACAAGAAGGGATTTTGAATTACTTAGGTTGGAAAAGCGGCACACTGCACCTTTTGGAGAGATGACTGACTGTTGAATCCTGTTTGGCTCCACTGGTGAGTGAGCTGAGGGTACATGGGAGCAGATGAAAGGAACAAGGGAGCATCTAGAAAACTGGGCTTGCCATGGGCCGCCTTGCTCTTTGTCTCAGAGAATTCTTAGGGGCAAAATGTTGCTCACTGCATCCAAATGGACCTTGTAACTCTCAATTTCTATTTATTATCATTATTATTATTATTATTATTATTTTGGTTTTTGAAAAAGGGTTTCTGTCAGTAGCCTTGGCTATCTAGAGATCTCCCTCCCTACCTCTGCCTCCCCGAGTGCAAGTGCTGGGATTACAGACATGAGCCACTGCACCTGGCTGACTTTGTAACTCTCTGTGGCTTTCTCATCCTAACATAAAGCAAAATTTTCTAAACACACACACATACACACACACACACACACACACACACACACACACACACACATACACGGGGAGAGAGAGAGAGAGAGAGAAGATAGGGCATATTGGAATCTTGGAAAGAAAAAACACAATATAAAATAAGGTTCCTTAACTCCTAAACATCTTAGTTTTAGTTCATCTTCATGTAAGAAAATTCATTTTAGAAGAATGCTGGAGTTGCATGAGGTTGAAACCACACCAAGCAAGGTCTTTGGAGTCTGTTGTTCAGGGGTGGAGTGCCTGCCTAGCATCCACAGGACTTCATAAACTCAGGTATAAGTGGCACACCTCTGTGATCTTAGTACTCAGAAAGTGGCAGAAGAAGGATCAGAAGTTCAGGGTCATGCTCTGCTACATAGTACATTCAAGGTCACTGTGGGACACACGATACCCTGCTGAATAACAACAGATACAGACATTTATTCCCTTGGTAGCTCTCTGTTGCCCACAGGCCCTCCACTAGGCATGACTCTATGAGCCCTCTCCCCATCCATGCTGGGATTGTGGCTCCTTGATCTTCTGTGGGCCCTGTGCATGCTGTCAGCCACTGTGAGTCTTGTGTGCAGCGTTCCTCTCCCGGCAGGAAAACCATTTTCCAGCAGTCATTCATAACCTCTGGCTCTCACAGTCTTTCTGCCCCCTCTTCCACGATGATTCTTGAGCCTTGGGGGCAGTAGGCATTAAACAGACATCCCATTGAGGGCTGCTCACTCTACAATCTCTCACTGTCTATACCTTGTTCAGGAGAGAGTCTCTCTCTGTATCAATCCCTATCTAGTGAAAGGCATTGGAGAGGAAAGATTAGGTGTGGATATTGTATCTAAACATGATATGCACATATATTCATCCAAGAATTCTTCAAATGCCAGGCAATGTTGGATCATGCCTTTAATCCCAGCACTTGGGACACAGACAGGCAGATCGCTGTGAGTTCAAGACCAGCCTGATCTACAAACCACCAAGGCTATACAGAGACACTCTTGTCGCAAATAAACAAGAAAGAAATCCTCAAACAATTAAAATTAAAAAAAAATACATCTTCTTTCAAAATGGCCCATGGTTTACAAAAATAAATAAAAAAAGAGAGGAAGAAGGGAGGGAAGGAAGGAAGGAGAGAAGCAGGCATTCTCTTGCAGCAGACAAAGAAATTCTGCCTATACTTTTAGTTGTGTTACAAAGACGCTGATGTTAAGCAAAGGTTCTCCTACTCTGTATAATTAATCATATTTTAGATCCTCCTTCCTCTCAGACTCTTTCCTTATAAACACTGACTTTCTCATTGATATCAGCTTTCTCTAGACATCCCCATTCCTTGCTCCTGTTTGCAGCACTCCAAGAAGACATATATCCTGTAAATGGATTGAAGTCTCCCAGCTCCCTTTCTACTTTCTGTCACAGCCCCATGACATCACCCTTTAATCTCTAAGTGTATTATAGAAAAAGGTTCTCCGAGAAAAACAACAACCATTTATATCAGCTCAGTGAAGGCTGCTGTCAAGAGACCTGTTGACTATTGAGTTTCCTCAGAGAAAGAAGGGGTAAGGAAGGTCACTGGACCCTCATGTAAAATTCCCTCCTGCACGACTCAGCCATTTGTAAATAATTCTACCCTAACTGCACTTGGACTCAGGGTCTTGGAAGATGTTAAAATATATAGGCTGGGAAAGTTAACTGAGAGGGAACTCCATCTATATGGCCATGGGAAAGTTGACGTCCACACTGTGTGGAGGACTTTCCAGAGCAGCTACTTTTGGGGTCCCTTATACTCCTAAAAGTAACTTCTCACCCATGTTCTGTACAGAAGACCAAAAGATTTATTGGCTTTCCAGGGCAAACAATGGTGGAATGCGCTTTGGCTTGTCCTTGGCATCTTATAGAGAGGTAGATGTTGCTTACCTCATCCCAAAGAAAGAATTCTCATGACAGAAACCTAGGGTGAGTATGTTTGTGACACCAGAGATGGATGTTCTGAAAGCAGACGCTTCAGCAAGGACCACGGACAGACGTCCATTTACCTTTCGTGTTTTGTGGGGGTTTCTCATTCGTGATGACTTCTTAATGTCCACTTCCGTAGTATTTACACATCCAGGCTGGAAAAAGATAGGACAAATGGAGTTTTAAGGGTACCCGTTCTAGTAGGATAATCATTAATGAATAGTTCTGCAGAGCTCAAGTAAATGCCGCCACAGTCGGGTCGCCTGAAGCGCCTCTGAGACGACCATGGCTACTTTTAGCAGCGACCAGTAAGAAAGTACACTGCATCCTTCTCCTTCCAGCACACCTCCAGAGCCTTAAACAACTTCCAGAGATATCAAGAAGAAAAGGATTCGCGCTTGGTATGGGAGACAGGTATCTATAATGGCTCAAACTGAACAGTTCGAACAGGAAGAGTGGTGTGACGCTGATGTCCGCACGCGTCATCCCACGGACATACATACCTTCCTTATGCTGCTTTTAAGTGGGTATCACTTTTCGCCCAGATACACAACTAACACGGTAGTCAGTTGAACCTGCGTAAATCCCAGACTGGGTCACTTTTTTTTTTTTTTTTAATTACAAAATCTGGTACCTGGGAATACGTGCTTTCCATAGACAGAAATTGCACAGTGATCATGGTCCCCAGAGAGAAGGTAAGGCCAGAAACAGGAAGTTCACATGCTGTTCTTTTCCTACAAATTTCTGCCTTTCTTTTCCCTTTCCCTCAGGTATGGAAATCCCTTCAAAACAGGAAGTTGAAAGGAGTGTGGGCTACCTGCTGCTGGCCTTTTGACAGTCTGAAGCCTCATTTTGCCAGATCTACTGTTCAGTTGCTCAGAAACAAATACATGTGAACTTCTTTTGTATTTGGAGGATCAAAGGGGAAGTGGGAGGTAAGAAGACAGAGAAGAAAGAGGAGCAAGACAGAATATGAATCAGGAATGCTCTCCCAAAACAACCTGGGCAGTCTCAGGCATAGATGGGGGAGCAGGGACCAGAGAAGAAAGGAGTTTTAGAAGTGCAGAGAATTTTAGACCTGAGCAAGAAGTTGCTTGATTATGTGGGTTGCATTTCCATTCTCAAAGTTCAAGGTACAGTTTTTAGGAAGATCTGCTATTATTAAAAAAATAAATCAAGTTGTACATCTCTGCCAAATTTTCAGGTTTTTTTTTTTTTAATCCTATCACAAGCTTTAAACGTCTGTGAAAGTGCTCCCACAAGGGCCATGAGTTTGGAGTTGGCATGGGGTGGGCAGAAAGGACTGTATTGCTGTCCATTATTCCTGCTGAGCAGCAAGCAATAACCCTGAGTAATAAGGGACCTTAGCCACTCTCAGGGAGTCCTCACCCTGCAGCTCAGACATTGTGACAGAACCCACTCAATCCAGGATTGCGTAAGGGAGTTAACAAAGAAAATATTTCCTTATTTTTTTTTTTTTCAGAAAGCTTACATTAAACTAAACACAAGCATATCCACATACAACAGTATGGATACTGAATGAAGTACATGTTCTCTGTCGGGTTGTTTACTTTAGAATTAAAATGAAGACTGTTGGGGGAGGGCTGGAGAGATGGCTCAGTGGTTAAGAGCACTCACTGGCTGCTCTTCCAAAGGACTCTGGTTCAATTCCCAGCACCCACAGGGCAGCTCACAACTGTCCGTAACTCCAATTCCAGGGGACCTGACACCCTCACACAGATAAATATGCAAGCAAAACACCAATTCACATAAAATAAAAATTAAAAAAAATTATCAGGGGCCAGGGAACAAAGTAATTCAATGGTAAAGAGGCATGCTGGCAAGCCTGATGACCCAAGACCAATTCCTTGTAACATGTTGGAAAGAGAGATCTGATTTCTAGCAAATTGCCCTCTGACCTCCAAATGTATGCAGTGGCATGGGTATTCGAGTGTGCATGTGCACGTACTCATGCATAGATACATACACACACTCCTCAATCAACGGTAAAGGAAGAAGAACGAACATTGGCTGTGTGAGACTAATTTATGGACACTGAGAAATTTACTATTCCCAGCACCAGGCTGACCAGTAGCGAGTATTTTATTTATTTATTTTTCCTGTGGTGTATAAATATTAACCTCTTAAAAAGAAAATGGCTGGTGAATTTTAATATTTTTAACATTAGGCAGAGTTTTATAACCATTGATCTACTTGTAAACAAGATGCTCTAAAAATATTAAAGCATCATGTCTTCATTTCCCATTCAATTTCTCATACCTTGTGGTGGTCCCTCCCTAAGCCGAGCCATTAGAGAAGAAGCACAAAAATTCTTTTATTTTGTTTTATTTTTATTATTAGTTACATTTTATTAACTCCATATCCCAGCTGTATCCCGCTCCCTCATTCCCTCCCAATCCTACCCTCCCTCCTTCATCTCCTCCCTGCCCCTTTCCAAGTCCACTGATTGGGGAGGACCTCCTCCCCTTTCATCTGACCCTGTTTTATCAGGTATCTTCAGTACTGGCTGCAAAGTCTCCCTCTGTGGCCTAGCAGGACTGCACAAAAACTCTTTAAACTCCTATTGATATACTGATATTGATCAATCAAGAGCCAGCATTGCCAAGGAGATCATAGATACTTTTTTAATGTTATGTGCTGGGAATAACAACATATGATGCCTAAGAAAAGGGAGCCATAGATTTTCATTTTCTCTTCTGTGAGAAAGCAATCTGAAAAGACTATGAGGGAGTATAGACATATCCAAAGGAATGCAGTTCCCACAAAGAAGTTTGTCCTGTAACCCCAGAGAGGCCTTATAAGGAACCCATCCCACAAGAATATTTAACACCACATGAGGATTTGCAAGAAAGGGGGAGCTGGGGGAGGACGGAGCAGTGATCCCAGCACCCACGACAGGTGGTGCACAATTCCCCGGGAGTCCAGCTGTAGGGAGATCTGATGACCTACTCAACACCTGCACTCACACGGCCAAACCTTCCTTGCATCCCACATATACACATAATTAAAGTAAAATAAATCTTTTTTTATATGGATATCCGTTTATCTATGAATAAATTAATTTTATTTTATTTTTTTTATTTCTAATTTTTTTAATTTTTTTTATTTTATTTTTCTTTTTAGTTACGTTTTGTTAACTCTGTGTCCCAGCTGTATCCCGCTCCCTCATTCCCTCCCTAACCCCACACTCCCTCCCTGGTCTCCTCCCTGCCCCTTTCCAAGTCCCCTGATAGGGGAGGACCTCCTCCCCTTTCATCTGACCCTGTTTTATCAGGTATCTTCAGGGCTGGCTGCAAAGTCCTCCTCTGTGGCCTAACAGACTGCTCCTCCCCTGGGGGGGGGGGTGTCAAACAGCCTGCCCTTGAGATCCTGTTAGAAATAGTCCGTGTTCCCCTTACTTTGGAAAACTACTTGGTTACTGAGCT